AGGAATGCTCCGTGGCCTCAGGCAGGTGCATGTGAGACCTGCCCCAGCCCAAGCCCAGGTGAGGAGGAAAGCATTCACTGTGGGGGCTCCCCTTCTATTTGCAGCCAACTGGGGGTGGGCACAGTGTAGACCGCCAAGCCAGGAGCTCAGATCTGGAGACAGGCAGGGCTGGAATGGAAAACCAACTTGGTCTCTTACTGTGTGGACTTGGGTCATTACTACATTTTGCTGGGTCTCAGTTTCCTCATCTGTACTGTGGGGGTGCTAGTTTCCATGCTATGGTTGTAGCATATGGACAACATGACATGATCCGTGTCCATGGCCTAGAGCCATGCCAGGCACGAGTCAGCGCAGGGGTGCTGAGGTGGGCAGGATGTGGAAGAAGAGGATGTCTAGAAGCACTGGGGGCTGAGGGGTAGGTGCTGGGAGTGGAGCAATGATAGTCCTGGCCTCATTGCTCTTCCAGCGCCCCGCCCCCCCCCGCCACCCCCAAGTTCCAGGCCTCGGAGACTCATCAAAGCAGTTTCTCCCAATTCTCCAGACTACCCTCTGACCTCGCCCCTCTCCTTTGAGGCTGCTTTGCCCTCATGCATGTGGAGAATTCCCTCATGCTACACATCTTAGGTTATCCCTGGCTCCCTTTGTTTATTTCCTGTGTCCATGGTTACTAGAGGGAAAGCACATGCAAATCAGGCAGCATCATTCTAGAGACAACGTCTGTGTGTGAGTGTGTTGGGGTGTGGGGGTTGGAGGGGTAGCTAGGTGAGGGTGAAGAGAGAGGCCTACAGGGACGTAAGCTTGGCCTGCTCTGGGCATGGCACCTACCAGCAGGCTGCACCCTGGCTGCTCTGTGTTTTTGGGGTCAGGCCTGGCTCTGATCCTTTCCAGAGCACTCGTTCTTCTTCCTGGCTGACAGTGGCCATGCTGCTGGGAGCACTGAAGCTAAGCGGGTTGACCCTGTGGCCTGACAGCAGTGGCTATCCCTGCGATGGGCCTGTGAGTGGGGTGGAGGCATGTCGGGATCTCTTACTGGGTCTTAGGTGAGGTGGTTCTCGGCCTTGCTCCACCTTTTCACTTGTGCAATGGAACGCTCACCCACAGCTTCTTCCAGCTGGCCCTGCCCATCCAGCGAGCAAGCTCCTGGATTCAGGACCTCCCTGGCAGTCCTGCAGGGTTAAGGCTGTACTTCCAACCCAAGGAAGAGGTCAGGGGAAGTGTGGGGGTGGAGGCAGAGACTGGAGAGGGTGGAGGGAAGTTAGGGAGTGGACAGTGGGAAAGAAAGCATAAATGACTAGGGTCATAGAGGTTGGGGTCATTAAAGACGGGGCAGGGGTCAGAGAACAAAGAGGATGTGGATCAAAGGAGATCAAGGGGAAGGAAAGTGTTCCCCAAGGTGGGTGATCTGAGGGACCAGCAGTTAGCGTAATGGCTATGTCGCTGGACTCCCACATAGTCGACCGCGGTTCGAGTTCCGGACCCGGTGGCTTAAACTCATGCCGGGTGCATGTGCGTGCGTGCCCAAGATCCCGAGAGGAGAATGGAGGAGAAGGGATTGTGGCATGGCCATCCCTCCGGGGGGGGTGATTTTTCGCTTTCTCTCTCTCTCTCTCTCTCTTTCTGGCAAGCGCACACGCCCTATAGCAAAATCCTCTCAAAAAAAAAAAAAAAAAAAAAAAAAAAAAAACTCTGAGAAGGGGAAA